GGCCGGCGCTGGCACGGCGCTTTCTCTGCCCGCCTGGAGGAAGGCAGCTCAGGGAGCCCCGGGGTTTCTCAAAGCCGCCGCTGCATCTCGGCCACCGCCCTGCCTGAGAAAAGCGGAGTGCATCTGAACGCTTGCTCGGTCTGCCCCTTCAGCTTTGCACCAGCTGGCATCCCTCCTTGCCCCCAGGGAGTGACTTGACTCCCCGGGGCGGGGGCGGGGGCTCGGGCTCCAGTGCACCCTCATCCCGAGTCGGAGGGGAAGAGGCAAGGGTCGGTGAAGCGTACCCAAAGCGGAGAGTGGAACGGCCGGGCGTCTCGGGACTGGGGTAGAGCTGCTGTTTACACATCGTGGTCTGTTTTATTGACCAACGGAAGGAATAAAAACCCTCTTTAAATCTAGCGGCTAACATGAAACCAGGTAATAATGAACGTAGGGTTGGCGTGCTTCTGTTCCGATTGTCGAAGGGTGTTACATTTTTTGTCCCTGACCACAGGCTGCTCTTCCGTTACCCATTTTTCCAGCATTAGGAATCTTTATAGGTGAAGTTAACAAGCCAGCCAAATTCTGTTTCGTGCACTGCTGGCTGGACTGCGCCAGGCACTTCACCTGTTCTTCTGGGGAAGCTCACGTTGGACGGAGAGTTTTGAGGCAGTTTCCCTATACAGCCACTCCTTGTTCAGTGGTTACTTCATTTAGCAACTATTTGCAAATTCAACAGTAATTAAAAAAATTCCAACCAACGCGCACACTTACAACCAAATTTCATGCACCTGACAACACCACACACCAGAGTGAGAGTAACCCTGCCACAGCTGTATGAGAACTTTATCCATTGTCCTTCATGCTCTAGTCACCTCCTGACTGGATTACTGTAATGCGCTCAAAGTGCGGCTGCCCTTGAAGAAGCTTCAACCAGTGCAGAATGCAGGGCAGCCCCAAATAAACAAACAAACTTACTTACTTACTCACCCGCCCATCTCCCCCCAATGGGGGAACCTCGGGGTGACTCACAACAAACAATTAAAAATATAAATATATATAAATACATAAAACATCAGTTAAAAGC